TAACCCTAACCTAGAAACACAAGTGAATATTCATTCCCATGATATAAACACACATACAATTCAAGAACAAGCATTCAATATAAAACCCTAACTAATACCATCTTCTGATGTGCAATAGCTAAGAGTTAACTCCTTAACAAATATGCACGGCTTCTCCCAAGGTGCAATAGTCAAATGCATTTGTGAGTGCCCTAAGATATGCCTTAACTCCCGTTAAGACATAAAGATAGCTATGAAACAAGTAATTTTGACCATTAATTACAAGCATCAACAATATAAATCACAATTGCAACACAAGTTATAAAACTCAATATATATATATATATATATATATATATTAAATGTTTGGAATAAAGTGTAATAGTTTTGATGAGCCAAAATTGTAATTTTAGAACTCCCCAATTTTATTTTGAGTCTAGTTGTCTATTAGTCGAAGTCCCAAGTCAAGGCATAAAGCCTACGAATTTCTTAGCAAAATATACTTATCCAGAATGTTACTACTTGAGAATTATTTACCTTGGAAGACACTAAAGGAATAAGTGGTGAAGTGGATAAGGAACAATGTTGCTAAAGTTAGAGGTCACAGGTTTGAAAATCAATCTCTACCTTTTTGAAATGGAGAAAAAGCTAAGGTGTGAAGGGGCTGATAGGGGACGACCAAGAGGCAGACTCGGAGTCAAAATGCTACTAAAGCCACTCTGAGAATAAAGATTAAATCCAGAAATATTAACCAATGAGTTAATATGGTGCAATGGTAAAAGTTTGGGGGATATATTTTGTTGGCTCATGTTCAAATCTCACTAAGCTTGTGAACATGATAAGTAAGATGCATGTGAACTCTTCTACACATCTTCTTTCTCATTTAAATCTCTTGCTACGTATCTCAAATCATTTCAAAAGAAGAAATGTTCGAAGATATATTTTTTACTCAAGCAAGAATCATCAACAAATCTTTTAGAAGATTTCATCATTTTGAATCTGTCAAGATAAGGAAATTATTTTTCGGAGAAGATTCAGCTGATGAGCCGACATATACGACTTTTGAAGTTTTGTTAGGTGAGGATTTTCAAACTCACTGTAAGAAGCCCATCTCTTGCATTAATTCACCGCAATGCAAGTTGGCAATAATGTGTAGCTGATCAAGATGAACGATCAAAATCAACTGATGCTACAACGGTAATATAGCTTCTTCTGCTATATATACCAGAAGACTTGAAGACATGAAGTAGAGAGAAATACACAAAAAATAAGAGAAGGGAGTCAACACAACAAAAATTGAAAGGCAAAAAATCGAAATATCCAGTTGAGCTTTCACGAGAGATTCTTCAAGTCCTTAGAAGAGAAATTTGTTTTCTCTATTTCTTATCTCTACTGTGTGTAGAAAGAGGGTTGAGTGTAGCTTTGTGCAAGACACTACCCTGTTAAGTGTAGCTTTGTGCGAAACACTCGTGGTTGCTAAGTGTAGCTGTGTGCGAGACACTCGGTGGTGCTAAGTGTACCTGTGTGCAAGACACTTAGTTGGTGTAGGAGTATAGCTTTGTGCGAGATACTCGGGATTGTGCGAGATACTCAGGATTGAGTGTAGCTGTGTGCACAACACGCGGGAAGTGCTTGTGTAGCACTTGATTCACTATTTGTATCTGGGTGAACGAGATAGTGAATTTCCTCCTTGGAGTGAAAGGAGAAGAGTGGACTAGGAGGATTACACCACCTCTGAACCACTATAAATTGCCTCTCTCATTTACTTACTGCCTTTATTTATTATTGTATGCATACTAACCCATTTACTATTCGTCTTATTTATCTATCTCATTGTTTGGGTTATGTGACTTTACAAGTGCATGCAGACACTATTCTATTTGGATTCATTCATTGATTCACACGTGATATTGCATACATATTGAGTGAACCATCTCTTTAAATATTCATTTATTGTCTTGCATGTTGAATATTTGACTGACCCATCTTATACTGTGCAAATTTATTCATCTGGGTCTAGTAGTTTTTACGTATGCATGTGGGCATAAATTTGCATACTTATTATTTGAGCCATACCAAGCATATCCATCATATTGCATGTGATATATCTCTTTGATTTTACGTAACACTTGGTTGATAAATCTTTCCGTTGCACATATGAGTTACATATCTTGTTACTTAGAGTTGAAATTACCAAAGTGTTATTTATTGAGAAAAAGTTTAAAAAGTCTATTCACTCCCCCCCCCCCCTCCCCCCCCCCTCCCCACCCTCTAGACTTTTTACCACCCTATCGGGACCAACATTAAAGAATCTGAGAACTAGGCACATAGATTCATAAACACTTTTACTCAAAAATCTCTACGATAACTTAGCCACTCATGGCTGGATTAGCATTCGTTACAATATCAATGAGTTCACACGCAACAAAGAAAGTAAAAGAAAAGGTAAAGAAATTCTCCCAAATCTCTCTAGCTTTTCCTCTTCTTCCAAGGTGACTTGTAGCTCTTGATGTGTTTTTCTTCTCTTCTCTTGCTCCAAAACGCAGTTTCTGAGTCCTTAGGGTTGAGGGAAGATGAGATTTTTATAGATGGAGCTGAATAGGAAGAGATTAGGAAGTTTCTGCCCAACTTTCCAAATTCAGTTCAGGATTTTCGACGTGTCGAGTTTCAGCATCAATCTTCGTGCAACTTTCTCGAAGTTTTTGATGCTTCGAGTTTTTTGCATCATAGGTTGTGGCCCTTCGAGTCTTCTTTCTAATAACGCAATAATAACCTGATTCAGACATTCCTAGCATGAGATATGATCAAAATACTAAGGTGTCGCCAAATTCAGTGGGAATTACAACTCTTTGGTCTTTTGCTCCACTTTTCCTTATTTTGTTCTTGTGATCAAATCCATTGAAAGTACCACTCTTTAGCTCTCTTTGAAGCATTTTAGCCACCTAGCTCTTTGACTTTACGTTGATTCCCATTGACTCGAGATTCACTCAAAATGCCCGGAAAAGCATACATTTGTCTTCAAATCAACATTTATGCACCTAATGATATAAACAAATGAATTAAGACACATTTTTTTGCAAAAAACCAAAGTATTTTTCTCTCAAAATAGGTCTATATATGGGGTAGAATCATAGACATAAACAAAGTTATGAATGGGTAGAATCTAGACAAAGATTTATAGGATTTATAGCATCAATGATTGGCAAACTTTTCTCTTTTTCTCTTAATATGATTTTTCTTTTGTTTAGATATTGAAGATCTTTTTCTTAAGATAACGATTTTGCGCCTAAAATATAAAATCTGGTAACATTTCGCCTTCAATTTGGTCGGAAGAACCAAAACTGATAAAATCTCAAAGTTAGACAATAAAATTGAACAAATTTAAAACTGTGCACCAAAAATCATAATACTTTAAAAATCATGGGACTAAAAGTGAATTTAATACTTTCTAGCAAGTAAATGGAAGCAACACTTGAAATCACATGCATGTTTATCAATTATCAGTGTGTTTGGCACATAATTGTGAAAATTTCCATCAAGTAATAATAGTAAGCAACAACAACGGCGACTACCATTTTATATGCAATCATTTCAGCATTTTTTTTCAAAAATTTGTATTATGCAGAAGTTAATCTCACGCGGAGTTTGGTCCCCCAAAGTTGAAATCATTATTCTATGAATCATAGTTCATACAACTAATGTAAATTCAATACACAAGATAAAGCATACTATGTCTTTGTCATGCACATTCTGCGACAGCGTGTTTGGGAAAGTCTCTATGCAATAAAATTCAACCTCATTTTAAAAGACTCTTTGTATATATATATAGTGGTGGAAATTCCCTTCCTTTTCAATGTGGGACAAAGGCTACTTATAAGCCTTTCAAATTTCATTTTCCAAGTTAATGGATCTACTTTGAGAATCAATTTAGAGGTGGACCCGACCTATGTTTGTACCACAAAATAACCACTTACAATGTCATTTTTACTATTTATTCCAACATATTTAAAATGTACTTTGTATTTATGATGCACACATTTGACCCCAAAATTGCCATGCAATTGTTTTCATGAACTATATTATGCATAAATTTGTACAATACTTTTTTTTAGTACTATTGACTTTGTTCGTAACTACTTTCTCAACCTACTGAAATATAAAAAATCAATAACATCCCTACGAAACTTGAACTCGTGACTTTTTATATGGGAGAGTTACTCAGTGTCACTAGATCATAAGGTCATTGAGTGTAAACGTTCTACTAGCTATTGTCAAGACCCAAATTTCCACGCGGAGTTTGGTCCCCCAAAATTTCTATGCGATCGATTGCTTTCAGGAATAGTAATGTGCAGAAATTTAATTTGTACAATAATTTTCTACACATTCTACCTGCTATTTTCCAGACCGAGTCATCAAAGTAATCCTAAAGACGACCTTTATCATCCACAAGAGCAACGTAACTGAAATTTGATCTCTACAGAAAAAGAAAAAAAAAAAATCTTCTTTGGAATTCTGTGCATATATCATGCAAAATTCCAAGTCAATAGCCCTCACCGATGAAAGTCATTTATATTCCTGTGCTTGGTGATCTTCGTGTTGGAAATATGCTTCACAACTTTCTAAACCATTTCAACTGTTTTACCCTTAGATAAATTTAAATAGCTAGCATTTCTTAGGTAATGTATAAGTCATATGATTGGCTAAAAGGTTTTTTTTTTTTTTTCATCAAAGCCAGTATTTGTCATGAGGCTTAGAGTTGGCTTAAAATTCAATAATCGGAGGACCACTTTGTGTGCAATTAAAAGTCAAGGAACCAATTTGAAAAAAAGTCATAGTCGGATGACCATTTAGAGAATTAACTCTTCACGGATTTGTCCCTAGTTAAAAAATTAGACTTCATCAATATATGCATGTGTGTGGTTTTGTATTCTTGAGCTCTATATATACTCTGATCTTTCCGGTTTCCACCCAGTCCAAGTGCACTCAGTATAATAAAGTTTGTATCTTTTCCAGTCCACAAAATGAGCTCCTCCCTATTTTGTTTTTATGCCATATTTGCCTTCCTTAGCAAAACTTCCTTCTACCTGCCTGGAAATGTTTCTGATCACCGAGCATTACTTTCATTCAAGGCCAACATGATCGGAGATCCTCTTCAATCATGGAATGAGTCTACCCATTTCTGTAATTGGGTTGGAATAACTTGTGGTCGCGAACACCAACGAGTTGTAACAATCGATTTGGAGTCGAGCAACCTTCAAGGCTCTTTGTCCCCTGCAATTGGGAACTTGAGTTTTCTTAGAGAATTGATTCTTTACAACAACACTCTATCAGGTATAATTCCTAAAGAGATGGGTAGGCTTAGAAGATTAAGTGTGTTGGTTCTGGAAAGAAATGTATTTTCAGGTGAAATTCCAAAAAACTTTTCACATTGTGTTAGTCTAAGAGGTTTTTTTTTTTTTTTTTTTGGGGAAACAATAATCTAAGGGGTACATTTCCTTTGGAGTTTCGGTCACTGTCCAAACTTGAGTACTTTTCGGTTTTCAGAAACCACTTGATGGGAGAGATACCTGCTTACATACGCAATTTTTCATCACTCAAGGTACTTTCTTTTGGTGAAAATAATTTCAAGGAAAAAATTCCTACTTCTTTTGGATGCCTGCAGAAAGTTTTTGCTATTGGTCTAGGCTATAACAACCTGAGTTCTACCATTCCCCTATCCATTTTCAATCTGTCATCATTGGTAACTTTTGATGTACAAGTAAATAAACTTGAGGGATATCTTCCTGCCAATTTAGGCTTTACACTTCCAAATCTAGAGTATTTTTATATTTATTATAATTTTTTAAGAGGGCGACTTCCTATCTCAATGTCAAATGCCACAGCACTACACCGATTTTATGTTGGCCAAAATGATTTATATGGAGGGGTACCGTCATTTAGTGGACTTAAAAGACTTAATTTTGTTTCACTTGACGACAATCCGCTTCGCAATGGAAAATCCACTGATTTGGATTTCATGTCATCTCTTCTCAATAGTACTGCTACACTAGTGATCCTATCTCTTTATAACTGCAATTTTGGAGGGGTTTTGTCGAGATTCATTGCAAACTTTTCAAGTCTTGAGAATTTTCTCATTGGAGAAAATGTCATAAGTGGTACTATTCCAAGTGAAATTTGTCTTCTTGTTAACTTACAACACCTAGACTTATCAGAAAACCAACTAGGCGGTACTATTCCAAGCTCATGGGGAAGCCTTCAAAAACTCATTGGCTTATACCTTGATGGAAACAAATTGTTTGGTGAGATTCCAATTTCATTGGGAAATCTGACCATTTAGAGAGCTTTACCTACAATTCAATGAGTTGCGAGGTACTATACCGATAAGTTTTGAAAATTCTAAGTGTTTGTTAGAATTAGATCTTTCTAACAACAAACTCCAAGGAAATTTTTCCAAAGTTATCTTCACATCACTTGTGCATCTAGACCTCTCTCACAATCACTTTACAGGTCCTCTTCCTGTAGAGATTCGTGGGTTCAAAAATTTGGTGTCACTAAACCTCTCAAACAACATGTTTTAGGCACACTTCCAAGTACCATTGGTGCACTGAATAGCTTGACTGAACTCAACATCAATCATAATCTTTTTCATGGATTTATCTCTCCTTCTTTCAGTTCTTTAAAACGCCTTGAAATTTTAGATCTATCTTGTAATAACCTCACAGGAAAAATATCTGAATTTCTAGGTAAACTTCAGTACTTGAAGCGGTTGAATTTATCATTTAACCATTTGGAAGGTGAGATACCTACTGAAGGGATTTTTAAACACAAGACTGAAGTTGAGCTTGTTGGTAACAACCTTTGTGGAGGTATTCCACAATTTGGGTTGCCAACATGCCCAAGAGAAGGGGAAAGACAACATCTGTCCCATATTCAAAAGTTGGCAATTTTAATTTCGAGTGGGACTTTGATTCTGCTGATAATTGTGGCTCTCAGTGTGTTCATTTACAAGCAGAAGAACAAGCAGCCTTTAACGTTGGATGCAACAACAGAGCTCATGCCTAAGTTGTCATATTGGGGTATCCAGAAGGCAACTAATGAATTTTTTAAATCCAACATAATTGGTTTTGGAAAATTCAGCACTGTTTACAAAGGCATTCTTGATGGTAGTTTGGGAATTGTTGCAATTAAAGTGTTCAAGCTTCAAGTTAGAGGAGCATCCAAGAGCATTTTGGCGGAATGTGAAGCATTGAGGAAAATTAGGCACCGAAACTTGGTAAAGGTTTTGACAGCTTGTTGTAGCATTGACCATGAGGGTAATGACTTCTTGGCCATTGTTTATGAGTATATGATCAATGGTAACATGGACAATTGGATGCACAATCACTCAAAAGACATAGGAGAGAAAAATGATTTAAAGAATTTGAACTTGTTACAGAGGGTAAATATTGCAATTGATGTGGCAAATGCACTTGATTATCTTCATAATCAATTGGAGACAGGTTTAATACATTGTGATTTGAAGCCAAGCAATATTTTGTTGGATGGAGACTTGGTTGGTCACGTGGCTGATTTTGGAATAGCAAAGTTTCTTCCCACGGAAGTTACACTTGCATCTTCATCTAACCAAGTGAGTTCATCTATAGGAATTAAAGGGACTTTTGGATATGCAGCTCCAGGTGCACTATTCTCCTTAAAACCGTTAAGAGAGAATATATCACTTCTAATTAAACATAAAAACTTTATATATATATATATATATATATATATATATATATATATATATATATATATATATAGGGGTGATCACATGTGGTCATGTTGTTAGGTGTGGTCATATGGTCAATTATAGGCCATTAGATTAGATAGATCCAATGAATCATATTAATCAAGATTTTTCTAGTATTTTCGCGCACATTCTCCTACCTAGCGAACTGCAAGGGTAAACTCGTCATAAAACATCGGAATAGGAAAAATCACATTGTTGTGTGTTTTATTACACTATTGGTGCATGTTGTCAACACTGTTGGTGTATTCTGGAACCCGGCCGCTATAAATGGCCACTGTAATTACCATAACCCGGAAATACACCATTGGTGTGTTTCACTGTGGTGTGTTTTATTACACTATTGGTGTATGTTGGCAACATTGTTGGTGTATTCTGGAACCCGCCCGCTATAAATGGCCACTGTAATTACCATAACACCCCCACTTACCAAAACGCGCGAAAATCCTCAGAATTACCACTGTCGTTAGATTAAACTGATTCAACGACACAGATACGACCATATCGCCTCACCTAATGACATGACCACATATGAGCGCTCTTCTAGAAGAGCGCTCATATGTGGTCATGTCATTAGGTGAGGCGATATGGTCGTATCTGTGTCGTTGAATCAGTTTAATCTAACGGCAGTGGCTAATTATGAGGATTTTCGCGCTGGGGGTGTTATGGTAATTACAGTGGCCATTTATAGCGGTCGGGTTCCAGAATACACCAACAGTGTTGACAACATGCACCAATAGTGTAATAAAACACACCATAGTGAAACACACCAATAGTGTATTCTCGAACACTGTATTGTGTATTTATTCATATCTAATGGCGCGTTTTTGGTGATGCTACCTAATTTGTGTATGTTTTTTGTTGTGCATTTCATAACATGGATTGTGTATATTTGTATAACAATTGGTGCGGCCGCACTGACCACACGGGAAAGCGTTGCCGCACCTAAACTTGGCACCAATGGGAATCTACAAATACACCAGAGTAAGGCTAATAATGCACCAATTACACAAATAAAACGCACAACAATGTGATTTTCCCTATTCTGGTGCCTTATGACGAGTTTACCCTTGCAGTTCGCGGGGTAGGAGAATGTGCGCGAAAATACTAGAAGAATCTTGATTAATGTGATTCATTAGATCTATCTAATCTAATGGCCTGTAATTGACCATATGACCACACCTAACAACATGGCCACATGTGATCACCCCTATATATATATATATATATATATATATATATATATATATATATATATATGTGTGTGTGTGTGTGTGTGTGTGTGTGTGTGTGTGTGTGTGTGTGTGTATACACACACACACACACTGAAAGAATACTAATGCTTGAATTTGAATTTTTTCAGAGTCTGGGATGGGAAGTGATTTGTCAACATTTGGTGATATGTATAGCTATGGGATCCTTTTACTATAAATGTTTGCCAGTAAAAGTCCTACTAGTGATATCTTCAATAATGGCTTAACTCTTCATAACCATGTTAGAATGAGCATTCCTGAGCAAGTCACTGAGATTGTGGATCCAAAGCTATTCCACAAAAAAACTAATGCAACACCTAAAAGTCTTGTACTTCAGAACCAGATAATAGAATGCCTTGTATCGATTCTTAAGATTGGAATAGCTTGTTCCTTGGAGTTACCTAGGGAAAGAATGAGCATTGGCAATGCAGTCAAGGAGTTGCTTTCAATCAAAGACACCCTTGTGGAACTTGGAGACATTAGGACCATTCTTCGGTGAGGTAATTAATTTATGATGCTCCTTAAATTAGTGCACTGGAAATTTTCAAGTGCTTCATCTAAACGAAAAGTGTAAACTGATAATTGGATTGCACATTTATGTTTATACTAGTTTTACACGCGCATTGCGCGAATGAGTTAATGCCCAATGTTTATAATTAAATAAATATTTGAAAGTATATAAATGCAAGATTATATATGAGAAGTTCATACATAAGTAATTTAATATCCAATTTATTTATTTAAATATGTAACTCATAGTATATGAATACAATGTAATACAGGAGATTCATTATAATTGTTACTAAACTTTTGTTAAATAGTAACCAAGTATTTTTGTTGCAATATATTTACTGAATGCACATATATACAAGATCAATGAATGAATCGACGGTACCAGTCCTTTAGGTGTTTTGCTGAGTATTCATTTAGTTCAACCATTATTCTTGAATAAATTATTATGGTTAAAGAAATTCCTAATTTAAGGAATTTAGATATAGTAAAAATTAAAAATTTTAATTATAATGTAACCCAAAGATATTGAACGATTGGTAAATATGATGTAACCCAAAGATCAAAATGCTGAAGAAAGTGTTTGATTATTCAACAGTTTGAAAAAAAACAATTTTTTCCAATCCACTGAAAATACAAACATTGCAATTTACAATATTTTCACTTAGCGTTTTTTTAGAATGATTTCCCCAAAACACCACTATATGAAAAAAAAAAAAAAAAAAAAAAATTTACTGTAGAGTCATTTCGATTCCTTGAATAACAAGAGCCAGTTTCACTTGCTCACTGCTTGCCCATCAACGGATGGAAAAACTTAATTTTTAAATTGGAGCCTTCAGGCTCCTTTTATAGGAGCCTCAAGGCTCCCATGCCACTTTTCCCACCGATGTGGAAAAAGTGACAAAACTAATGGGAGCCGAACGTTCGGCTCCCTATATTTTTCTAATTTTGTTAATTTTATTTATTTTATTAAATTTTTTTTTTATTTTTTTAAAACAATTATTATTATTGTTTTATTTGAAAATAAGGAAACTAATTCATTAATCATAGGCTGAAATGTTTACAATAAAGATCGATGGAATAGTCAAACATTTCTTACAGTCAAACATAGAAACAACTTCCCTAGCAATGCTCCAGAAAACTTGATTCGTAGACTGTTTCACACATTTGAAGCTGAATTCTTTGGAGGAACTTAAAGCTTCTTTAATGATTTTGTCAAACTTACCCAAGACTGACACTGGTTGAATAGTCTTGCACACCACCTGAGTATCTATTTCCATTCTGCTATCTATTGACAATATCTTATCTCCATCGGGCTGAACTGCATATCATAAGTCATTTTATTATTATTATTATTATTATTATTATTATTATTATTATTATTATTATTATTATTATTATTATTATTATTATTATTATTATTATGAAATATATGTATACCCTTAGGTCATTTTACATGTTAATCTAAACAGCTAATTTTTTCAAATATCTTTCTACCCACCGTTGATATAATTCCTTAGTCAAATACACTAACGCTAACCGCTAACTGCTGATTGTCAAACAAGGACATTGCGAGGTAGTTCCCACTTCAATTTGTTGTGTGATTTGAATACTCTCTTTGTCAACATATCCCTCAAGTAGTTAATATGATTGGCTTTATTAATTATATATATTTTTTTAATTTTTTCATGGTATTAATAAAATACTTGGGTAAATAAATATATAGCATTATTTTGTATTATAACTTTGATATTTAATTAAAAAACAGTGCACAAAAAAGATAATAGAGAATGTAGTGAATATAATCAATTGATAAATTTAAATGTAAAGAATTTTTACATTGGACTAAAATAAAGACAATTTAACTAATGAAATTATTTTTCTTAATTAATTTATTGAAAATGAATAATTTTTTTTGTTAATAAAGACATTGTAGGGACAATGTAGCGAATATAATCAATTGATGAATTTTTTTTTTTTTTTTTTTGAAAATAATCAATTGATGAATTTGAATGTAAAGAATTTTCATATTGGAGAAAAATAATGACAATATAACTAATGAAATTATTTCTCTTATTTAATTTATTGATAATGAATAAAAAAATTGAATAAAGGCATTGTATACACATAATTCTAAATTAAAGAAATGCATATGTATTATTTTTTGTTGTAGCTACTAAATTATTATTTAATTTAATAAGAGTAAAATAGAGTTCTAATTATGCCAACTTTGATTGGGATGAGGTTCGAACCTAAGACCTTTCTTATTGAAATCAATGAGTAAGTTAACGGTGAACTAACAGAAATTAAGAGAAAAGATAATATTTAACGGGAAAGTTAACGAATATTAAGGATAAATTAGGAAATCTCAAGAAAAAATTAAAATCTGATCAATATGAGTCATTCATTTGATTAAAAAATTTGACCGTAATTTTTTCTACCCATTATAGGTCTAACTCTCTTTGACTTTTATTAGTATATACTAGTTTTTTACGCACATTGCGCGATTGAGATAATGTCAATTTTTTAAAAAAAAATAAGTACTTTAAAGTATATTAAGGCAAGACTATATTGGAATTGTTCATGCATAGATAATTGAATGTTGAATTTGTGTATTTAAATAGTTAATTCTAAGTTTACAAATGTAAGACAATATAGTCAAGATTGATTATAATTGTCAATATTATAATTGTATTGTTATGGTTGAAACCTGTAATTTTGCATTTTCTCAGTTTAAGATTATTATTAGAAATAATCGACTAATATACTGGACTGACTGATTCAAGGACATGAATAGTCCGTCATTTAGTTAGATTGAGGGTTGGTTTATAGAAGAAAACTAAAGTAGAAGATAAATCAACACATACGATGTTTACCCAGTTCGATACAGTGTGTATCTACATCTGGGAGACGATCACCGAGGCGTCCAATTCACTAACTCATAATCCAATGTACAAAGGTAGAGAAACAACAATCTCACCCAAGTGTCCCACACAAGGTACGTACCCAGTCTACAAAGGTTTAGTGAATTGTTGAAGTCGGAGAGCCACGCATGCAGAAGTCCAATGAAATCCCTTCAATTGGAGAGCTAACTCTGATGCAGTCTGCTTCAATGACGCAGTCCCACGTTGTTCACACAACTGAATGATCTTCGCGTCTTTTCGTTTAAGCAATGTTAGTTCTTCTCAAGTTCTTCATCATAATCACCAAGAACATATTATCTTGAGAAGAGACATGATAATCAAAGATAAGTAGTGTAGCACGGATTATTTTTGTCTTCTTAAACTCGTGACCCTAATTCTTGACCGAATGATGATACTTATACTTCCTTGGTAAAAACACTCTCCAAAAATATCTTTGATTGTAGATGGTAGGACAATTTGTGAAGAATGCAATCTTAAAGATTTGGTCCATACCTTCCAAAACAGATCCGCTGATATTCTTTCCAAAACTGTCTTCTCAAACCGTGTTCAGCATTTTGGAAACATCTCCCTTTATCAGATCTTCAGTATCAGGGCGTCTGTTGATGAACCTGATCAATCAGTCTTCTGTAAGAGTAAACAGACACCAAACTAAACCCTATCTTAGTTTCCCATAATAATATTGTCAATTATATGTTGGGGTTTTGGACAAAATAAAAACACTAACAAAACCAAATACGAGACATAAGGGAGAACAAATAAAAATTAGGGCATAAAATATTAAATATATACTAATATTGAAGAGCTAACTGCTAATTCTCAAACAAGGACATTGCGAGGTAGTTTCCCACTTCAATTTATTGTGTGATTTGAATGCTCTTTTTGTCAATAAATTCCCCAAATAGTTAATATGATTGGCTTAATTATATATATATATATATATATATATATATATATATATATATATATATATATATATATATATATATATATATATATATATATATATATATATATAACAATTATTATTATTATTATTATTATTATTATTATTATTATTATTATTATTATTATTATGTATACCCTTAGTTCATTTTACATGTTAATTTAAACAGCTAATTTTTCAAATATCTTTTTACCAACCGTTGATATAATTCGATGGTCAAATCCGCTAACTGCTGATTGTCAAACAAGGACATTGCGAGGTTGTCCTCACTTCAATTTGTTGTGTGATTTAAATACTCTCTTACTCAACAGATCCCGTAGTTAATATGATTGGCTTAATTAATTAATTATATATATATATATATATATATATATATATATATATATATATATATATATATATATATATATATTTAAAGCAATTATTATTATTATTATTATTATTATTATTATTATTATTAAATATATACCTTTAGGTCATTTTACATGTTAATCTAAACAGCTAATTTTTCAAATATCTTTTTACCAACCGTTGATATAATTCGATGGTCAAATCCGCTAACTGCTGATTGTCAAACAAGGACATTGCGAGGTTGTCCTCACTTCAATTTGTTGTGTGATTTGAATACTCTCTTTCTCAACAGATCCCGTAGTTAATATGATTGGCTTTATTAATTATATTTTTTTAATTTTTTTTTGGTATTAATAAATTACTTGGTAAATAAATATATAGCATTATCTTGTATTATAACTTTGATATTTAATTAAAAAATAGTGCACAAAAAAGATAATAAACAATGTAGTGAATATAACCAAT